TCCCCGCATGCGTTTCTTGGTAAAGATTGCGGTTGCATAAGCCGCCGCGGCAACGGCAGCGTACGAAGTGTGGATTGACGTAACTAGCCTCGCTTACAATGCGAAGCACGTAGTACTCCCCGCATGCGTTTCTTGGTAAAGATTGCGGTTGCATAATCTGCCGCGGCCACGGCAGAGTACGAAGTGTGGATTGACGTAGCTAGCCTCGCTTACAACGCGAAGCACGTAGCACTCCCCGCATGCGTTTCTTGGTAAAGATTGCGGTTGCATAATCTGCCGCGGCCACGGCAGAGTACGAAGTGTGGATTGACGTAGCTAGCCTCGCTTACAATGCGAAGCACGTAGCACTCCCCGCATGCGTTTCTTGGTAAAGATTGCGGTTGCATAAGCTGCCGCGGCAACGGCAGCGTACGAAGTGTGGATTGACGTAACTAGCCTCGCTTACAATGCGAAGCACGTAGCACTCCCCGCATGCGCTTCTTGGTAAAGATTGCGGTTGCATAAGCTGCCGTGGCCACGGCAGAGTACGAAGTGTGGATTGACGTAGCTAGCCTCGCTTACAATGCGAAGCACGTAGCACTCCCCGCATGCGTTTCTTGGTAAAGATTGCGGTTGCATAAGCTGCCGCGGCCACGGCAGAGTACGAAGTGTGGATTGACGTAGCTAGCCTCGCTTACAATGCGAAGCACGTAGCGCTCCCCGCATGCGTTTCTTGGTAAAGATTGCGGTTGCATAAGCTGCCGCGGCCACGGCAGAGTACGAAGTGTGGATTGACGTAGCTAGCCTCGCTTACAATGCGAAGCACGTAGCACTCCCCGCATGCGTTTCTTGGTAAAGATTGCGGTTGCATAATCTGCCGCGGCCACGGCAGAGTACGAAGTGTGGATTGACGTAGCTAGCCTCGCTTACAATGTGAAGCACGTAGCACTCCCCGCATGCGTTTCTTGGTAAAGATTGCGGTTGCATAAGCTGCCGCGGCCACGGCAGAGTACGAAGTGTGGATTGACGTAGCTAGCCTCGCTTACAATGCGAAGCACGTAGCACTCCCCGCATGCGTTTCTTGGTAAAGATTGCGGTTGCATAAGCTGCCGCGGCCACGGCAGAGTACGAAGTGTGGATTGACGTAGCTAGCCTCGCTTACAATGCGAAGCACGTAGCACTCCCCGCATGCGTTTCTTGGTAAAGATTGCGGTGTCATAAGCTGCCGCGGCCACGGCAGAGTACGAAGTGTGGATTGACGTAGCTAGCCTCGCTTACAATGCGAAGCACGTAGCACTCCCCGCATGCGTTTCTTGGTAAAGATTGCGGTTGCATAATCTGCCGCGGCCACGGCAGAGTACGAAGTGTGTATTGACGTAGCTAGCCTCGCTTACAATGCGAAGCACGTAGCACTCCCCGCATGCGTTTCTTGGTAAAGATTGCGGTTGCATAATCTGCCGCGGCCACGGCAGAGTACGAAGTGTGGATTGACGTAGCTAGCCTCGCTTACAATGCGAAGCACGTAGCACTTTCCGCATGCGTTTCTTGGTAAAGATTGCGGTTGCATAATCTGCCGCGGCCACGGCAGAGTACGAAGTGTGGATTGACGTAGCTAGCCTCGCTTACAATGCGAAGCACGTAGCACTGCCCGCATGCGTTTCTTGGTAAAGATTGCGGTTGCATAAGCTGCCGCGGCCACGGCAGAGTACGAAGTGTGGATTGACGTAGCTAGCCTCGCTTACAATGCGAAGCACGTAGCACTCCCCGCATGCGTTTCTTGGTAAAGATTGCGGTTGCATAAGCTGCCGCTGCCATGGCAGAGTACGAAGTGTGGATTGACGTAGCTAGCCTCGCTTACAATGCGAAGCACGTAGCACTCCCCGCATGCGTTTCTTGGTAAAGATTGCGGTTGCATAAGCTGCCGCGGCCACGGCAGAGTACGAAGTGTGGATTGACGTAGCTAGCCTCGCTTACAATGCGAAGCACGTAGCACTCCCCGCATGCGTTTCTTGGTAAAGATTGCGGTTGCATAATCTGCCGCGGCCACGGCAGAGTACGAAGTGTGGATTGACGTAGCTAGCCTCGCTTACAATGCGAAGCACGTAGCACTCCCTGCATGCGTTTCTTGGTAAAGATTGCGGTTGCATAAGCTGCCGCGGCAACGGCAGCGTACGAAGTCTTTCAAATATAAAACAAAGTTCGGTACAGTACATTTACTTTTTTTTTCGTCAATTATTTGAAATAGATTATTCTGCTTCTTACAAACATGAACTGCCGCTTACGTCCCAAGCGACTTCCGGTCGCAAAGTCTTTGCAAGCCTTTTGAGCTTGCTTGTGAACAGTGCTAGAAAGCATAAATGCTATACGGACAACAAAGTTGGAGATTTAATAAGGGCCTTCGGCTATGCAATATTACACATTGAAGGAGGCAAGTTGGTTTACAAGAATACTCAAAACATTTTAACGAATCTCGCACTTCTCCGTTTTTTTGGCGTTCACCTGGAGAACTGGTGGTTAAACGTTTCATCCATATTTCAAGCAGTGGCGGCCTTTGTTCATTCCTTTTATAAACCGAACGTTCTCTGGGACGTCAAGGACTGGTGCACCACAGAGTGGCGTTGGCCATAAAAAGGGTATATAGTGCAGTCGGCAATCGCTGCAGGTAATAACACAGCTTCGCTGTCTAACCACCTTTTTTGCCTTTGGTATATTGAAATTTGGAGTTTTTCGGAATAATCCTAATTGACGAAAACTTCACTGGCGAGTCTTTTCCGGATTTTTTCAAACTTATCCGAAAAAAACGAACCCTAGTTATAAGGAAGATGCACGCATGCGGGAGTAAAAATCATCGTATCAGCCGTGGTGGCCGTGACCGTGCTTCCATGCCCACAAAAGTTACTAGTTTCCAATAACTCTGTGACTATAGAAGACCAACAGAGCCCACTGTTTTGGAGCTATACGTTTGATCTTCCCTACACAAGGCACGAGACGAGACTTCGCAGAATATCACAGTAATGTTTAATGTCATTCTCCAACAGATTAACATTGTTTTGTCCTAATCTGGATGTTATACAGACTTAAAATTTTTATTCTGGAAATAACTCGAGAACGCTCCTATAGTCTCCGAAAACTCAAGACACTTAGGGCGTGTCCCTCATTGCATTCTGAGTTTTGTTCCTCGCTAGGATCATTTCATTGTTCGTGGTGATTAGCTTAACTTCGTGTTTGTTCAGAAACGTGAACGTAGAGAGTTTTTTCCTAGAATAATGAAGGGTGAAAGTTCAAAAGTCGTGACACAAGTGTTTTTTTTTTCTTTTTTTTTTTCAATCAGTTGTTCGAAAGTAATTATGGCCGTAATACGTCAAAATGTAACACCTTTTTTTACGGCGAACTGTATAAGGTGGTTCGGAGCTGCAAAGATGGCTAGTTGAAATGATTTACTGGCAAGTGAAACATCAAAGTGCGCCTTTCAGTCAGAGACCTTGACAACTGTCGAGCTTGAAGGAAATGCACTCTCAAAGACGGGAAGTGAGCAACCTAAGCGCTCCGCTCTTTACTTTTGTACCATTGGCTCATCATCATCCAGGGTTCCGGCGGAAGCTGGGAAGAGTAAGACTTGCCTAAATTAAACGTTACGCATTTTGTTTCTTTTAGTATAAAAAAGTTTAGTTAATTTTTTTTTCTATTAACACGGAGTAGCTTTATTCTCAGGCACTCTGGGGTTTCCTCTGCCCAAGATAAAAACAGAGATATAGGGTTCATTGGCTGTCTTCCCTTCCCCCTTCCTTTGGCGAATAACCTATTCGAGTGGCTTCGCAGCTCTAATTTTTAAATTACCACAAAAAAACTGGCTGGATCCAAAAAATTTTAAAGAGAAGAAAAAGTTAATTTGTTTAATGCTTTTATTCAAGCATGTTCATCCTTTATTATTCTTATTGAACGAATGTTTGTATTAAGCATTGACGTTGTATATTTTGCGAAACCAATTGCTGTACTTTGTTAGAGATTCACCGTTTTACCCATTCTGTGGTAGACTGTACAATTTAGGCGGAGCGGGGCGCAGGAAGCTGCATGGTATAGGGAGAGGGCACGGAGGATATAGAGACACCGAACTACTGAATAATGTCCTCATCTTCGAGCGTGCGTATATATATACAGCCAGCAATAATATGAAAGACTTAATTGCCTAGACGGTGCATGCAGCGGTGCTAAGCACTCTACTTGTAGGGCGAAAATGAAACGAAGCTATATTTCATGTTGAAAAAACAGCGCGACTAAGACGAGGACACAGAGACGTCTTAGTCGCGCTGTTTTTTCAACATGAACTCTCACCAACTCGCCCAGTTATCTATCCTTATCGAAGCTATATTTGCTTCCTCACCCCAAGGCTCGTTTAAGCCAGAACGAATCCTGCGCAGCCGCCTGCAACTGCAATGTCAAATGGGTCTTTCATATTGTTGGAGACTGTACTTATTTTACGGGTTAAACGGTGCACAACAGACGACTTAAAGACTATACGTCAGTCTTTTCAGACTTTTGGACTTGGGGGTCTAGGTTAGTATTAATATGGTGCCTGGAACCTGTCTCAGACTGATCGGTTTACCGCGTCCTCAAATGCGGCCCCTCGACTTCCACACCGTGATCGTGGCGGCGGCAAACCAGCGGATGTGTATGCGCTAGACGCGTGTTGTGCTGTAGGTCCCTATGCAGTCAGCCATTTCACGGGAGCTTAAACTGCCAGAAGTTGGGACACCGCGATGACAGCGATCCGTGCGTTCGCTCGCCTTTTTCGCCAGGATTTCAACAACCAACCGCCATGTTCGCGACATCTGCTCCAATGACTGTTTCCTCTTTGGGACCACTATCATTGCGTGGGCGAAATAGGACGCTAAACACATCTGTTGAAGACGCGCTCCAAGCACCGTAGTCCTAAGGACCATGGTTAGTCTTCGGGACTGCGGGAATTAGGGACAAGGTTATATAGTCTTAAGGACTTCGGGATCTGAGGACTATAGGCTCGATTATTCGCTGAGCTTGATCGCGTTTCGATGTCCCGGATATGTCCCGGGGTTGGTGGAGCCGGGCTCCGAGTAGGGGTCTCTGGCAGCGACGTCGACGCCGTCCGTGAAGGGGTCTTCCTCGACCTCGGCGATGACGTTGGACGCCACGTCGGACTGGTTTCCGTTCTGCAGCTTGGACTCCGGATCGGCATCGACGCTTTGCTCCCCGGCGTCTGTGTGTTCGTGCGAGGGAGAGCGGGAGCCGAAGTGGTGAGAAACGTGCGAGCAATGAACATGCCCCTTGCAAAATCTAGTGCACTGAAGCAATACTAAAATCCCGCATTTGTGACACAAAAGAGGACGCATAAGAAGGTCTACTTAAAGTATATTTAAAGTTTGTTGATAGTACACCAGAATATGTTTTGAGCTTGTCCGTAGTGGCGCAGATAATTTAGATAATTTAGACTACCATTAAAGAAACAAGGAAAAAAACTTAGTTTTTATTCCTAAATAAGCATATTTTATTGTAGTCAAAATATCCTTCATTTGTAGTTTTTTTGTTTCATAAAAGAGCATAATTGGTGTACATTCATTGCAGGGGTCTCCAAACGTTTTGGCTAGAGGGAGCCGGTTTGGAGACCAGTTCAGTCTAGAGGGTCGGAAATTTGATAAGACAATATACACAAGGAAATTCTACACAAATAAACTTAAATAAAGATATTATTACACAAATCTAAACTAGAACAGAGATTAAGAAAGAAATGGAACGTGGACAAATCCATATAATTTATTTTTAAGTGCGATATTTTACTATTTTTGACATTACAAAATAATGGTGACCCCGAGAACTCATCAGATATATATCAAAGCGCATAGAAATTTTGGAATATTGAGATAGAACAGAAGACTAATGAAAATGATCGATCAGATCAGATCAGATCACGCACGCATGAGAACGCAAATGAATGTTTCCATAGTTACGCAGACATGAGGCAAGCAACTACGAATAGTAATTCTGGTGATGGCAATATATAATAAATATTATGACGAAATAACCGGCGTCTTAATGCAATTTTCTAGATGCGCGAATAGTGGATTTTGAGTTTGAGACGAATTCGAATCGAATAGTGGTTTTGGCCGAATATTTTCGAATGGAATATCGAATAGTTTCTACAGTTCTTGTCACTACTGCTCCATGACTAAACGAAAACCCTTCTGAACTCGCCAAGATTGTTCCCAAGCTTCCACTTGCCCATATCGAAGCTAAGTTAATTACTATTGAGCTATACTTATGGACTGACCTCGGAAAGTCCGTTGCCTACATGGGAACTGCAAGTAAGTAAGGCATTCGACATAAAATCAAACCTATAGAGATGGCCAACTACACCTATTTGCATGTATTTATAGATAATCTTGCTATATGCAAATACCCTTTATTAAATCTAGAATTCGAGAAAATAAAAAAAGACAATAATTAATTGCATAAAAGTCACAGTTTAATTTCGAAAATTTTGCAGTAGTATGAACATCAACATTTACAAAGTTTCCGCTTTTCTTACTTTTTTTTTTTTTTACACATATTACGCGCGCGCGTGCACCATCCCGCTTGGAAAGTGGGCTTTACTTTTTCGAAGTCTTGATCTCGGCGTTTTAGGCCCGTTGAGTGCGCTTTTTACCGAGCACCGGTGCACTGCGGAGTAATGCCCTTTTAGTGAAACGATTTTGAAATCGAATTTCATCCACCGCACGTCGTGAAAAGTGTGAAAAAAAAAAAACACACACACACAAAAATAGAGCCAACATTTTTTTTTTCATTTTTTTGCTATAGAATTTAAAAAGAAAAGCGGCTCCTTTTATACTTTCTTTTTCGAAAGTTCTCTGCCTTTTCAATCCGATGCATCCGAGTGCCAAAGCACGTCAGCCAAGTCCACGTCGTCTATCGGATAAGAGCCTACCTGACCAGCACCGCGATCATGAACAATAAATAGCCGGCGAATGTTTCTTAAAAGTTTTGTTGAAGAATATTCAGATCCAAATTTTGTTGAATAATTAGCGATGTGACGGAAATTGCCGAATATTATAATGCTTAGAGTTCCTGTATAGCTCCCCCGAAGGGGGAGCAGAGTTGCGCATTTGCTTTCCCCGCGCCACCACGCCGCTATTCGCCGAGATCCATCACGTGAGCAGCAAAGCATCCGGCCCCGTGTAAGAAAGCCACCTTTACGGTCGCTCCGCCGACGTTTCTCGCGCCCTGGCGTATGTTCCCCTGCTTTCGCCCTCCTTCTCCTCCTCTCCTGTTACCCATGCGCGACGGCGCGCGCGGCGCCGCTATTCGCCAAATTTAGTCACGTGAGGAGCAAAGCATCCAGGGCCTGCGGGGAAGCCGGCGCTACGGTCACCCGCCGAGGCTGAATGCGCAACTCTGCTACCGTATAGGTAGCATATACAGGAACTCTAATAATGCTCGGAGCTATGCGCCATCTATCGTGTGGCTTACGAAGCAAGAGAAAGATAAGACTGCGCCTGCGCTTTTTCGCGGTTCCTGCTCTCTGCTGAAAAACATGGCGTCGGTGGTGATCTTTGACGTGGTCGGCGTAGTGGAAGCTCATCGTTCCGGGTAGAGCGCTATCCTTGACTGAAGTTTCGTTGTGTGTCGCGATAATAACCTAGCACGCCCTAGAAGGGGAGATCCATCTACTCGTGCGGCGATGTTGTGGCGGCACCCTCAAGATGCTCGTGCCATTTGTGTCCTCTAACATCGCCCGGAAATCTTATTTTGCACATTCCATGCGTGTGCTCAAGTTCAAGGTATTACTGGTGCGTACTATATTTAAAGGCGTTTATGAAGGATCCCGATGTTGACGCGTTTTCATCACCCGAGAAAAGTGATTTGTGTTAGCATTCCTGAACGATCGCAACGTATATGTGATCACGAAATCAAGCTACGTTGCTATATATCTGCTAAGATTACATCGTATTTTGCAATCGTAGAAAATGCGTGTGGCGAGATTTGCATTATCGAAAAAGTCGTGTTTTAAAGTCGTGATCGTCCAAGACGGCTTACTGGATCTTTTTACATCGAAGCTGTATACCCCAGCCAAGGAAATTTTCGTGTCGTTGGCGATGTAAGAAAAAAACTCCCGGCGAACAATTGAAGGCAAAACAGCATATCTCCTTTGAAATTAGGCATACAACATACAGCTCAGTATCCGTTTTCATAAAGAAAACCAAAAAAACAAGCATCAAAACCACATGATGGATGATAAGGCGCGTGATCAATAGGAACACCCTCCCACGCGTTCCGGTAAAGATTAAGTTTGCAGCTGCTTCGAAAAGGGTTGACGTCATTCGAAGCCGTCGTGTGAAGTGCAAACCGCATAATAATTGATAACGGCTCCTGCGAACAATGCGAAGCACGTTCCTTTTCCCTGCGTGTGTTTCCCGGTAAAGATTGCGATTGCGTAAGCTACTCCGAGTGGAAAAGTACCCAACCGCATAGAAATCACGTAGTTACGTCACCACTCTTTCATATATAAAAGGGAGACGGGTCTAGCAATGGATCACACCACACCCGTGATCATTGTCGGGGACTTTAATGTGGATATATCAAAACCGCAAAACAAGTCGTTCGTCCAATTCGTCATGGAAGAGTTTGCACTCATGTGCTTCACCAATGCAACTCAATCAATCACCATTCATGGATCATGCATTGGTTGAACCTTGGCAAAGAATATCTGTAATGTGAGAACTGAAAATCTCAGTATGTATTACACTCATGATAAAGTAGTCGGGAATGTCGTTGTGCAGTAATAAAGGGGATGGTTAAGGAGATTTCACTTGTCCCTGGTTTCTCTTTTTGTATAGCCACATGTATAAATTTTAAAGTAACGTCGCAATAGGTAATCGTTGTGGGTGTCGTGTACAGCTTCGCTGTCCAACCACCTTCACAACGTAGATTAGAGTCACAGTTCTTCTCTCCCCCCCCCTCCCCCCACTCAGTAGCAGTCGCGGAAAGAAAAATTTGGGAAAAACGAACACCGTTTAACTCGCCGCCAGAAAGAAAAACGGCCCCGTGATCTGGAGCCGATTATATGCCGCCAATGTTTTTAACACAGCCATGCGTTGGTGTTGGCAGATCACAGGGCGCGCGCTGAGTTCCACGCATTGTTAAGCTTCGACTGCTCCTCTCATCCCAGAGATTGTTCACGAGCAACTACCCGAATGCATGTCGAGGTATTGACTATCACGAGCCAAAATGGAATGCCTACGCAGTTTTCCCGTCCACTGAATGAGCGCATTTAAACATCGTCGCGGCGGGGATCGCAAAGCTTGATGGCGCACTCCTGGGAATCGCATTGTTGACATCGTCCCCACAACTCCGTCATCAAGTTTTGCGAAGGAGAGACTGAAAGAAAAGGTTCGCTTTATCCTTGAAATTCCACCGCGACGAAGACGCTTCTTGGTCAGGGGCGTCGCGTTTGAGTATTCTTAGACCCCTACTAGTACCACTAAACTGATGTAAAGTGAGAAACGTTCCTACCCAATATCGTTGCACAGCCCTTTCAGGAGTCAATAAATGAAATGAAATGAAGCCCGCTCAACGAGGCTAACCCGCCGATATCAACAACTCGAATAATTCAAATACCAGAGTTAATCTCGAAGCGAATAGCAATAGCCTATTATTAGGAAGAATCGAGAATACTATTCGAAAATTCGAAAACTTGCACAACACTACAGTTTTCGCTCATTCTTTCTGATAGCTTCGTTTGCGCTTTTGGTATGTGTCGCAACGCCAAGTTTTTTTTCTTTTTTTTTTCTTTTTTTTTTACGAGTGCTTAAGTTTTGTGTTGTTAGGAGCGGGTCGCGGGCCGTGCACCACTGGAAAGACTGCGGCCATCTGCAGGCCGGCCGGAACACCTCCGCGGGCTGGGTTTCAAGACCCCTGATTTAGTGCACTAAATTAGGGGTCTGAGAGCAAGCCAACTCGCTTGCTGTCAGATACGATGTCGGAACGCGAATGCCAAGGAGACCTCAGAATGATTACACTATAAACACTGTGTAAAGAGCAACCCCCCCCCCCTCCACCCCCCCCCCCCCCCCCCCCCCTTTATTTTAGAGCGAAGCTCTTAGGCGCCCGTTTCCGGCTTGAGCGGCGTCGCCGTCGTAGTCGGCGTAACCGCGCGTTGCATTATAGGAAGTTTCCCATAATGACGCCACGAGAGTTACCCTCGTGAGGGTTACGAGGGTTACTGTCACGAGGGTTACCAAGGTTACCCTCACGAGGATCACGAGGGTCACGAGCGTTACCCTCATGAGGGTTGCGAGCGTTAGTTGCCCTCAAAAGCGTTACCCTCATGAGGGTCACAAGGGTTACCCTCACAAAGGTCACGAAGGTTACCCTCCCAAGGGTCACGAGAATTACCCTCACGAGGGTTACCAGGGTAACCCTCGTGACCCTCACGAGGGTTACTAGGGTTACCCTCACGAGGGTCACGAGGGTTACCCTCACGAGGGCCACAAGGGGTACCCTCGCGAGGGTTTTGAGGGTTTCTCTCAAGAGGGTCACGAGAGTTACCCTCGTGACGTCACAGGTGACGTCGCGTGTGACATCACGAGTATAAAATGTTTCCACTATATTTAGCGGAAATTGTTTCCCGCTAAATTTAGCGGGGAAGAAAGAGGGGCATACCCTCCCTCCGCACCATCCCCTCCTCCTTCTCAAGAGCTGCGCTCTAATTCGGCGTTACAAAAATTGTAAAGGTCTTTTTTATTTTTTTTTAATTCTAAATTTGCGATTGTTTTGAGCGAATGTAGAATTACTCAGTTATGGGGTACATTTTTATTCTGAATTGCGTGTAGTACTCTATGTACCTTGACTCAAACGCTGGTTTCGGGAATTTACAGTTATACGGAAACTATACGAGCTCAGGAGTTGCGATGACATTGGTAATAATTATATGTAAGAACGGCGGTGATATTTTGAAACCACGGCGCATGGACGATGGCTGAGTCGCATGAAACGCGTTGTCTCGATTGCTCTGCGCGTGCAGCAACCAAAGCACTGCTATTCAGTACCGTTGGAGAGGAAAGCCCGGAGGTACACACAAGTGACATTTTACCTAGTGTGACTTCAGTAGCAGCTAACCAAAGTTCACTCACCAAAGATTAAAAAAAAAAGCGTGTTTTTAACAGAAAATGTTAGCGTTGTCTCAACAGCAGTATTCGTGACGCTCTTCAACGGGGATACACAGCTTGCGTCTTCCAAAACAAGTGCGTCTTGCAAAACGTCCACGCGCCTCAGAACTCACTCGAAAACAGTTGTTTACGAGTTTTCGAGATTTCCTATGCACGTTTCGTCTCTTGACGGATGGGGCAAAATAAATGGCGCTGTCAACGGAGCGCGCAGACGTCGGATGACTTTATAAAGGACGTGCGCGTCTGCGCGCTCGAACAAAAGTATGTGAAACCCCTTTCCTGGAAAACACAGATACAAGCCGATCACTGCGAGCGATAGGAAGATCCCATCAGATGTCGAGGTTCGGAATACTGTTAGACGATAAAGAGAAATACGAGCGTGCGAAGTACATAATACGAAAAAGAGCATGAGGTTTCACTTGCTCATATCCGATGCGCTGTACGAAAAGCAAATTTTCCAGGTCTGTAGTTTGTTGCAGGTTAGGATACCGATACAAGTCAAGGAACCGGGAAAAAGCAAGGGATTTGTGACACTGTATAGCCGCTCACTTCGTGTTTGTGCTGTTGTGACTGTCTAACTTTTATTACCTCCCTCTTTTTCATCCCTTCCGCCTCTTATATGTACCATAATAATTCTCTTTCGTCTATTCCCTTTCGAGTTCTGGATTAGCCGGGATTGTTTTTAAGGCGGCCAATCTCTACCGCAACGATAATGCATTTTCTTTCTCTCTCTCTCCTCCCACAAAGTCCTCCACTTTAGCAGAGAGAACGTTAAGGTGGATGCTAGAGAATAGACGAGGCCACTCGCCTCCTCCCCACAAAGCCCTCATATGCCCAAGTTTAAGGTATTACTAGTGCGTGCCATATTTAAAGGCGTGTATGAAGGATTCGATCTTTGACGCGTTTTCCTCATCTGAAAGAAGTGATTAGAGTTGGCATTCCTGAAAGACTATGTCACCACGAAATCATATTTCTACGTTGCTACATCGTTGCTAAAATTACAATAGTCTTTTTTAATCGTAGAAAAGGCGTGTGGCGAGATTTGTACTATCGGTAAAGTCGTGATCGCCCTAGAAGGCGTAATGCATTTCTTTTTAACGCAAAAGCGTTAACTGTCTCATGGAGCGAACTGGCGTCATCAGCTTTAAAACCGCGCCAAACGGCACCTTTCCCTGTCCCAATAGAGCGAAGCCTGTCGTCTGTAGCAGAAATCTGATGGATAGGCTCCCATTGGCTGGCTTGCGTCATCAAGGAACGAGGCTCCCATTGGCTCTCGCACGGCGTAGTTCCAAGAGACGCCCCCAGAGAAGCCCTCTCCATGGCGGCGCAGAGCACGCGACTTCCCGGCCGCTGGTAATAGCGCATTCACACTGGAAGCGGATCCGCGTTCGCCAAGCGGTTGCGAACGCGGTTGTATAAAAAAAAAAAACAGTAGAATTACACGCGCATTTGATGTCATCAAATGCTCGTGCAAATTGTACTGGATCTTTATACCACCGCGTTCGCAACCGCTTTGCGCACGCGGATCCGCTTCCAGTGTGAATGCGCCATGAAAGAGGTGCGGCCAGGCGAGAGATTCAGAGGGTCGATGAGAGCCGCTCGAAGAGCCGTCCTTATTTCGCACACGTTTACAAGGCCGCAGGACGCGCGATGCCCATAAACCCGAAAGTGCCCCGCCGGGAGATGCGCGAAGCCCGTGAAAACTTTTACCACCTTGTCTGGCCTTGTTCAGACACCTCTCTCTTCTTTCATCGTGCAATAGACTTAGTAGCATTTGTCCCGCAGTTACTAGCTTTCAAATAGTAAATACTAAGGGCTTTTTTTTTTAATAGCGAGGGAGTTTGATATTGCACTAAACAGACAAACGCTCGCAGTTTTTCTTTTTTTTTTTTTTTTATCAGAGGGACGCAGGACTGGCTGTAGCCCATAGGAGAACATACCTTTCGAAATAAACTTCACTAATTTTAGATCACGGCACACAGTGGGTCCCTGTGTCTCAGTTTCTAAGATAATGTTTCTCAATAAATATTTGGTGCGTATTGAGTTAGCTTGTTTTCCAAAAGAGCTGCATTCAAAATGACAAACTAGAGTTACAAGATTGTTATGCCTAAACATTTGAGACAAAGGGCCACCTTTTGTACGTCCGAGCGTTTCCAGATGGTTCTCGATAACATCGTCGTCCCACGTTTGTGTTTTCGCCCAGGAATCCGTCGGCTGCACTCCTTGACCCAACATCGGCGGAACCACAACTGCTGCAAAGACGATTAAGGACGCCGCTGGAAAATCAACATCCTAAAATATAAAAATTACAAACTGAAACCACACGGCAGATTGTTGCTCGAAGAGTAGCAATGGCACCCCCCACCCCTCGCCCCTTTTTTAATTAACATATCAGATTTCTGGCAGCTCTCACTCCATGTCTTAGAATTAATTCTCTTGGAGTGACACGTACATATCAGCGATAAAGTTTTCCTTGGAAAACTCTTTTGCATGCCTCGCATGCGAGAGAGTTTTCTGTGTAGGGTGCACGCGTGTACTCGTGTAGAGTCACGCGTTCTTTAAAGCCTCTGTTATAGTTGAGTTTTTAAGTAATAACGGCATCCCATACTCGTGAAGGGCTTTTGAGGGAATGCGGTTTATAACGTTGTAAAGGGCCAAGCAACTGTGCAGTTTGAGAATTACACTTTTTTAAACAAACTTTGAACAACTCTAACAAGATTCGACATTTATAAAACAACTTAATGAGTGCATTCATCACAAAATATATAATAGAAAAGAGAAAGGGACATATTCAGATCTCTGGGGAATGTACGTGACCAGTTCAGTTGAGTCAAAATGATGAAATTCTAAATGAAATTCGTGTCAAAGGAATTTCGAGCAGACAATATAAAGATAGCCGTCCAAAGCATAAGCGGTGACCCTTGACGAATAATATTTTGGCACCACGACCTCTCCTACTCCAGGCGAAAGTGCTGCATGTTTTCAAAAATCTTTGATTTAAATTTACTTGCCATCGAGACCCAATTTTGTGAGACATACCGAGCTCTCTGTGTTTGTTCTAAATATGCATGATGATTTCCTTTCAAACAGGACATGCTAAGATTGCCTAATTTAATTTTTTGCGAAACAAAACAAAACATACGCTTTCGGGCATTCTTAAAAAGAAAGAGGGTAAAAACCGCAAGTTTCCCGTATTTCTTGTTCTCGAGTTATGGAGCATAGAAAACGCTGCGGTAGAAATTTGCGTTTTCCCTGTCGTCGCAGGTCGTATGTTTGACACTCTCTGTTAGCCGTTATTTTTTCTTTGCTTCCTTTAAACTTTCTTTCTAGCATTTAGTATCTACTAAAAAGACACTCTCGATAAAATACAAATTTATTGCTTTTTTTTTTAAATATTCATAACAAAATGTGAGACTGGCCCCCAGGTCGCTTTTTTGTCACAAACTTAAGGTAAATAATCTATTTTAGATATATGAAAAGCCCAAAACAAGCTGATTATAAATACAATAATATCATTCAAATCTGCCAAATAGCCATCTTGCTATCGTCGCGTAGACGGTGTATAAAAGAACAAAATTGTTGCATCTTTAATATTACATTTTTCCAAAAAAAAAAAAAAAACACTTTTTATTTTTAGGTTTTGAATTCTTTTAAATACAATATGGACTATTAAAAAATGTAATCTAGAAATGTCGTATTTTTTTTTGTATGTCATCTATTTGAGCAGCAATCTTGTGAAATTAGCGTTTCTTTGGATAAACAACACGCGTCCTTACCGACCTTGGCCGTGTTTTTGATTTCGAACACATATTTTGGTCACGTTGTAAAAAATAACATAAAGTAGATGAACTTTTGATATTCACTATAATTTAGAGTTTGGTATAAGACAAAACATATAAGCACACTACAAAAACAGCGAGTAACAAGTTTATAAAAATCAGAAGGCCACGGAACATGACAGGGTTGCTTCTTTATATTAAGGTTTAAAATAAACGAGGGTGGATATTGATTGTCCAGAATAGTTATTAAGGTATAAAAAATGAACGACGTTTACAACACTCTTACAACTTAAAGTAAATTATAATATTTAAATATATGGAAAGCCCAAAACAAGCTGATTATAGATATACACTAATAATATAATTGAAATCTGTTATTAGCCATCTCTCTATCGTCGCGTAAACAGTATAAAATAAGAAAAGTTGCATGTTTAAAATTACTTTTCTCAAACACACTATTTCCTATCTTTATTTTTTATTTCTTTAGATGCTATAGTAGACTATTAGCCAATACAATCTAAAATGTCATAGTTTGGTTGCATGTCCTTTAGTTGAGCCGCAATCTTGTTAAATATGGGTTCCTTTGGATAAACAACAAGAATCCTTACCGACCTTGTGCGTCTATGATTTCCACTAGACATTTTTAGTTTTGTCTACGATTTCAGACACGAGCATAAAGTTGAGGAGCAACGAGTGACCTGCCGTCGCAGTGTCAGATGAAAGAGGCATTTACAGAGCCACTTCCCGCCACGAAAACTTTTGTAACTTGAGATGTTTCCCAGCAGCGAGCGAGCGCACTTTGGCACGTAGTCAACTTACGCTCTGTTCTAATACAGTTCTGATACGAGGCTTCACCTAGGCGTCTAGCTTATACGCGACACATATCAGGTTCAACAATCTCTTCTGCAAGCAACGAACTAGAAACTTGAAATTGACCACACCATTTGCTTCGAGGTCAGCCCAGCGGTAGCCGTTTATCAACACTGTTCCTGCCGTTGAAGTGAGAAGTTTGCACCGGAACATACACAAGACAAAACACGTTTCGAACGAAGCACACGCGAAGAAATATAACTTATACATGGAGTGAAATTACCTCCGAAGTGGATATCCCCAAAGCTGATGTGCCCAAGATGAAACATCTAACGCGGGGTTTTATAAACTAATTGTGCATCGTTAAAGCGAAAACCCCGAGTAGCCGCATACATGTGTGAACGCATGTATACGTACCATTTCGTGCCTTGAAAGTAGATCATCAGTGTGTGTGCCGGAATGATCGAACCTGCGACCGTGAAATGCCTGGCTTCTTTTCTCCGTTCACCCCTAAGCTGAGACTGCAGTGGAAGCTATATACATCCTCGTTGGACCAGCCATACGAACCTCTTTCGCAAGTCATCACGCTCCCGACCATACACTCTAAAAAAAGCCTGTGCGCCTACTTTCACGCACACCACTCGGAGAGCCAATCAGCGCAACTTACGGAGGCAGCTCAGCGAATGACGATGCGGAAACATATGTTTAGACCAAAAACACAGTCTGAGTTGTGACATTAAGCAATGCAAGCGTGACGTTTTGCATTGCTTAATGTCACAACTCAGACTGCGTTTTTTTGGTCTAAACATATGTTTCCGCATCGTCATTCGCTGAACTGCCTCCGTAAGTTGCGGTGATTGGCTCTCCGAGTGGTGTGCGTGAAAGTAGACGAACAGACTTTTTTTAGAGTGTAGACACACGCGGACAGTAGGGTCATGTGATAAGAGAGAGGCCGCTGATTGGTCCGGCGGGCACGTAGCTCCTCGCATACTCTTAGCTTAAGGGTGAAGGGGAGCATGGACAGTGCAAAAACTTATTCACAGCTACATTGAAGGAGTCAAATAATGCACTGCCTTCAAAGAGCGTGCCATTACTTTCTCCTTTCACACTCGTTCTGTGCACGACCTTTCTTATATTAGGGGCGAGATGTGGGCAGTCAAACGTCGGTGATCTGCACGACCTGACGTGAACGAAACCCGGCGTGTATATTCAGAAGTTTTATGCACGAGCTTTGAATTGCATGGCAATTTTAATTCCTTTCTAATATTCTAAACAATTAATATCCACCCTCGTTTATTTTGAACCTTAATATATATCGAATCCATCTTGACATGTTGCCTGGCCTTCTGATATATGAATTTGCGAAAAAAATGGCGTCAGTTTCGAAAACGAAAAACAAGCATTTCATTTTCCACTTTTGTTTCTAAAGGATACCTTAGTCACAAAATCTTTTGACATTTTACAAGAAGGAGGGGAATTGGCCGAGCGTCCTCTACGACCGCAGCAACGTGAGAATGGTCTTTCGCTTTGTGTATCTTCTTCCTGTTGACAGGCAGTCGCCAAAGTTCACAACCCCTCTCAGTGTGTATCTGAAGAAACGCTTACAACCAAGCTCAACGATTTATTAGTCCTGTCCTAATACCAATGAACAGATAACACGCGCAGGGACCACATATCCACCTACTAATGCGCATTCCCACCGCAATGCAGAGCGGACTATACAAGAAACAAGGCCCGCGTGTTCGCTCTTCCATACAGAAAACGCAGGCATCGAATCGCCGCGAGCAAAGAAAGCATCGTGGCGAACGGCGAGGCTACTCGGAAAATTAGATATGCACAAGCACAGGTAGCGTGACATTGGACTTGCTCTCCATCCCTGCGCACATTGCACGTTTTAGATCTAATTAAATTTTTAGCTTCGCCGTCAACCGTCCGTGTGACTCCGCCTCAATGTCCAAAGCTGGGGATGTGCCGACCGTCGCCGTGTCGCTTTCAGCTCTCCGGTTCTTCGTTGCAGTTGGGGTCAGTGTCACGCTCTAAAAAATGTCTGTGCGTCTACTTTCACGCACAACACTCGGAGAGCCAATCACCACAACTTACGGAGGCAGCTCAGCGAATGACGATGCGGAAACATGTTTAGACCAAACAACGCAGTCTGAGTTGTGACATTGAGCAATGCGAAACGTCACGCTTGCATTGCTTAATGTCACAACTCAGACTGCGTTTTTTTGGTCTAAACATATGTTTCGGCATCGTCAATCGCTGAGCTGCCTCCGTAAGTTGCGCTGATTGGCTCTCCGAGTGTTGTGCGTGAAAATAGACGCCCAGCGTTTTTTTTTTTTTTTTTTTTTAACTGCAGTTTAAAAAAACGCTGGGCGTGGCTTGTTTCGTGATTCGTTCTTCTTTGCTCTTATCGGCGAATGCCACAATCTCCACCGCTGCGGAGTAATACTTCCTCCGCTTCACTTCAAGCCCAGACGCAGCCGACGGTACGAGCCGATGGAACCAATCAGACAACGCCAAAAACGCACCCCGCGTTCGTCATGTCTCTGTACGCGTTCTATCGTCGGTGAACCAATCACACACACACACACGCACAAAAAGAAGGGCGCTTAAGCTTCGCCTTTAAGAGTGGAAGGCGATAGCTAAACATATATAAAAAAACCCGCTCGACCCCATGCCGTGCAAGCGTGTCTAGTCGGTAGAGCGAACGTTCAAAAAAGACCTCACCCTCAATCCACACGGCATACGCTTTTTACCGCTGGAGAACAAAGGCGGGGTCTCGTACGATTTGTTCATGCTCCTCGGCCTCCACAGTCTCTGGAGGACGAGGACGGAAGTGAACAACGCGGATGTGAAGCCACGCCCCGCCGGAGAACATTTAATTGAAAGTGCTGTATACATTCGCGAAGTGTATCACGCTTTGCAAGAACCCCCAGACTGGATGTCCTTCCTAGAGGAATTGGTTCGTCTAAAACGTATTTAATGTAGCCGCGGGGCCTTTGCAGAGGTTCACGGGCTTTTATATATTTTTTTTATGTGTGTGTATTTGTGTTTTAGCGTTTCACTGTCTAAACAAGCAATAAAAAAAAAAAAAGTGTGTAGTCGGTAGCATGTCTGGCTCGCAACCGAAGGATGCGGAGGAAGTATGAACTCGCAACCGAAGGATTGCGGGTTGAAATCTCGCCTCCGCTGCAAACCTGCAAGTTTTTTTCTTTAAGGCACATTAATTACTTTATTAAGTGAAATATTTGAAACGTGCGGTGACCTTTAAATCGCATTACATGGGACCCACAACTCTTACTTTTCACGTGAGCGTTGTAGGTTGTTTGGAATTCCCGCGCTTGGCCATGTGGCTGTGACTTCATGGCCTTAGCGACCACTCTGGATTTTTCCGTCCCACCGACGCCGACGTTTCCGCGATTCGAGGTCATTCAAGCTATCTCTCTAAAAAAAGTCCCGAGACTTTCGCTTGTGACGCTGTTTGAATGATTTAATTAGCTCGTAGCGTCGGCTGCATATACAAGGGACTCGGCACCCGTCGCCACAGGCCCTGTTTTTAAGCCGTCAGTGAGCATAGCAGGACAATAAATGGTCTTAAAATAAACACTGCAAAGTCTAAAGCAATTTTGTTTAGACCTGTAAATAAGCACGTTATTTGTAATTATGCTCTAGAGATTGGTACCGACCAGATTGGAATAGTTAAACAGCACAAAACGTTAGGTGTAATTTTTTCAGAACATATGCAATGGGATAATGACATTGATTACTTAGTTAAGAGACTCAAAAATTGTTGGAATAGTATGTCGCTGTTGCTCCTTGTTGCCTGTAAATATTAAAATGCAAATTTATCATGCTCTGTTTAGCTCACAAATTAGCTATTGTCATTTGGTTTGGGGCATAAAATTTAAATAAAATATTAACAAACTTAAGATTCTACAAAAGAAAATGCTGCGTTTTATTGCAAACGTGCCTTACGACACTCATACGGAACCATCATTTCTTAAATTTAATGTTAAGGGGATTGCCAGTATATACGAGTACGGTTTGCTATGTTCTTATTTATTTTAGACCGATGAGTTTATTTCTTTTTTGTCTAATGTATCCCTCCTGACAAAACGTGGATCTTCCATCCTTGTCAGACGCAGAAAGTTCTGGAATCTGCCTCATTTTCGTACAAATTATACACTGCAATCTATTGCGCATAACCTGCCTACATTACTTAACAAGTTCATTATAGACCACAATGATATTCACTGCTTAACAAAAAAGGATGTACGCGTTTGTTTTACAAAGTGTTCTGTATAGTAGTTGTTTTTACCATGCCCTGTAAGTGCAGGGGCACCAGACCCGGATAAGCTACCTCATGAAAGTCTTTTGTCTGGTGCCCTCAGCACAATATTGCTGAAAATAAATATTACTTACTTACTCACTTACCAAAGTCAAATTTGGGGTTTTACGTACCAAATTACGGCGTAGCGGAAGAGAGGTTCAATTTCGACCGCCTGGGGATCTTCTAAAGTGCAGCCGACATCACCCTCCGCCAAAGTACGGTCACCTCGGCCAGGATTCGAACACCACCAGTGATTTCCCTACAAACACCTTAGGGGGGTGTGCACCCCCCCCCCCCCACCCTTTTTTCTGAAGGCACCCCCTTAATTCGCAACCAATCCTCTATATTCAATGCCCGCACCCAACCCCCCCCCCCCCCCCCCCCCCCTAAAAATTTATACACCCCCTAATTTCAATTCCTGGGGAAACCCCTGGAACACACCACTTGGGAATACTAGGCTAGCGCTTGGCCTCGGAGTCACCGAGGCGGCCACTACAACGGGAGAAGGTGCCCAAAACAGCAGGGATTTGCCTCGTCAGTATAGCGGCGAACCTAGATATGTGAGCTTCGGTTTCGTTCTTCTCGTGACAATTTGATGCCATTGATGCGGTCGTAATTGAATCGGGTGTTCGCGGTTAATTCAGATTATTCCAAAATTCAATCAAAGACGCGTTCAAATTAGAGTAGAGCTTGAATTGTCGCGCCCTCTTCGTTCCGGGGGTTAGGCATCGGGGACAGCGAACATTCTCGACCAGGCCCGATTGCGGGTGTCACGTGGCACTCGACGGGCGGTCCTCCGGAGGCCAAACGCGCATGCGGTCCTGCTACAGAAAGGGGCAAAGTTAATCATAATGTAAACCTGAGACTATGGTGCGTAAAAAATGAAGAAACTTTCAAAAGGAAAGAGAAGACAACAGTAAAGGAACGTCTCAAACTTTTTAAACGTTCTTACTATAGTCTTTTTCTTCGACTTGAAAGTTTTATTTTTTCCTCACCACAGTCTCGGGTGTTACATTGTGATTCATTACCACCAGCTCGCCCGCACAGTCATCGCTATTTCGAGTCAGGTGAGTCAGGGTTGTTCATTTAGTCGCAATATCTATATATTAGAAGTTGGTGGCTCTACTATGTGACAATCTACTGATTCAGCTACCAGTATGTATGTGATAGGATTTTGGCAGAACGCGAAATGTTTGGCATTTGATCTTTCTGCATTTGAGTAATCACATGATGTAACGACGATTGTAAGGTTGACACCAGTAAATGAGTCGTCATTGTGAGATCATAGGGTAAAAGTGAACTACGGGGACACTGTCAAAGTCAATTATATTGTTCCCACGTTTACGAAAACATCCAATCAAGTACTAAGCGGTGACAGAGCTTGCAAAAACAAGCAATCACCTTTTGGTGTCCTTTTTTACCGTAAAAATTTAAAGGCTAATATTAAAATATAGTAGACCATAGGAAAGTGCCGACACGTGGCACTATCATAGGCTTTAAAATTTGGAGCCCGTCCAATTCCTATCTGGGAAACAAAACCAAACGACAGGGCACCGATGTTGTGTTTGTCCCGAAGCCGCCATCACACTGCTCGCACGTCATACAAATGACACGGCGTTCGCTGTAGACGTAATGAGAGAATTATTTGCGGATACACCACAGGCAGTGTCTGCGGACTTTCATATAGATAACGTGCGAGCATTGTGGGCGTAACGGTGTCACGCAAGTGCACGTCTGCCGACGCAGGGGGATACTTACCGACGACCGAGGCTGCCACCAGGCTGTTCATGAGGTCCATCCTGGAGTCGAGGCTGTACTGCTTCTGGCTCACCATAAGCCCCCTGACCCTCCGGCGCAGCGCGGGACTGTCCGTCGAGCCCAGGGTGAAGTGGTCGCTGTACCGGCTCACCAAGTCCTTCCAGACGTTGGTGCCGTCGAAGAAGGCCACATAGCTGCCGTTCATCACCTTTGGCGTCAGAGGGCTGTTGGACAACAGCAGGCTCGTGCCGAACTCGGGCTCCTGGCGCTTCACTTCGGCCAACGTGATCCTGTGCGGAACGATGTCCTTCGCGAGCGCCTGGATGACGTCCCAGTCCCGTCGAATGTCGTCTTCTGTGGTCTGCTGCGACGTCACCGTGAACCGGATGACGTACTTTCCTTTCAGGGCCGACGGCACGCAGTGCAGCTTCCCGCTGGCGTTCAGTTTCTTCAGCAGTTTCTCGGTCCCGGCGTTAGGTCCCTGCACATGCAACTCCCTATAGACCGGTCCAAGAGCTGCCTTCAGTGCACTCCCATATTTTTCTACTGAGCTGTGAATCGCCTTCTTGGCATGCGCAGTGGCTTTCTTTCAAGGAATATCAGACGACGCGCATGCGTCCATAGCCCCGTGACTGGACATTTTGTGATCCGCCTGAGTTTGGGTGCGCGTGGGACGAAGTGTTATCAAAGGCAGAAAGGTCGCGCTCGAGGCGGAGCATCTACTGGGTTCTTAAACTGTCACCGACCGTACTTTGCAAAAGACTGTACCGCCTCTCGCGCGATTATTATATCCACCAGGGTTGATCGGCGCGACCGTTTAGAAGCCATTCAGACTTGGGACTGAACGTGATAAGTTACGTGCGAGCTAAGCCATGCTCTGCGTCGAGTTAATCTGACGTTCGTGGGCCAGTCGAGTTATAGAGGCAGGGGTTAATCGATGCAGGTAATTACGGAGGCAGGTAATGCGTTTTTTTAAGCATTTATGAAACACATAGATAAAATTATTGCTCGATAAATAAAATTTGAAGTGTCAAACCTATGGCGCCTTTAACTTAATTTGAAATTTTTTACACTGTCTAAAAAGTGTGTGAATTGTAGTTGGAATCGAGTTATGCCACGTGATTCGCAACGTTTTACCGGCGGACCACATAATTCCAGTTTCTCTCTCTCTCTCTTTCTTTTTTTTTTTTTACTATGACACTTAGGAATAACACTGGGCTATTTGGTTCTAAAAGGTCTACATTATTGCTCAAACCAGATATGTTTAAAGCGCGAGACATATGTACAGATCGCGACACCGTTAGTGCGAAAAAGTCATTGACGGGTTTCTCAGTTTCTCTTTCTTCGCCGAAGTCGTGTTCGCGCTAGCAGTGCCAGGCAGTGTCCTCGTAAATTTCGAGTTGTGTCACTCATCTGATCTCCGCAACACCCAATAGAGTGATTTTACTAAGCGTTCCACGAATGCGTGACGCCGTCAGTTTACAGAAGGCAGATGTGTTCAGTTCGCGCAGACCCACAGCGGAGTCGTCGCGCGTGTAGAAAGACCACAGTTCCCAGGAGGCATGCCGGCAGCGGTGGTGCAACGAAACTGCCTGGTGAGATCGGTCTATTAGATATGGACCACCCAACGACCAATACCGCCAACCCGGCAGGAACGGGCGTCAGTGCAGACTCACTTTGAGCCGAAATACGACGAGACCCAGGTAGCGTGGCGCCGGTATCTCGAACCGCTTGTCCGCGCGAACCAGACTCTCGAAGAGTTGAGCCAGTTCGACGCTCTGCAAAACAAAATGAAAATTAGCACGCTTAACACGCTTTATGCGTTTCACTCTTGTTAATGGACCTCCTGTCTTGGTTTTCCTAATTTCGACAACTCAATTAGGACTGCTACGCCGTTCCGCGTTAACTCCCGTATTTCGTCGATTTCATGACTTTCACAGTATTTTAGTGCTTTCGTTTTTACCTCCCTTAAAGGAAGGCGCGATAGGTATAGAACCGATCACACGTGTCGACAGATTATACCCTATTGCAGGTTAAAAAAAAGAAAGAAAGAAAAAAAGCACGACGAGGTCCTCTCGCGAAGCCCTTCACTCTACCCGCTTTAGCAGAACGAACCCCGGAAAGAAGGCGAGTCCCTCCTCGCTTTGTCTCTCCTTCTGTCCAGCGCTCGCTCCCCTGAAGCGGAAATAGTGGAAGGCTTCGCGGGAGTAGCTTGTCCTGCTTTTCTTATCCTACAACACCATACACTAAATGTTTACGAGTAAGTTCCAAACTTTTATATTATTGCGTTTGTCAGTAAAACTCCAAAGAGAGCTTTAAGTACCAGTCCAATCTAGGCAAAACAAAAGTGTTTATTATAGCGCGCTAAACCATCTTTGTAAGCGCTGCGCTGGGCATACGCTTTGTGGAGTAATTTTGAATTCTGCAAACGCAAGCGCTCAAACTGCGTATAATATAGCGTAAAAACAACTCACTTTGCGTATGTGGCTTTGGAGTCCTTCTACCCCATGTAGGCGAATGACGAACCACAGCTTCAAGCTGCGAAACCTCTTGCTTAAGGAAATCTGCCAATGCTGTAATGACAGTTCAAAATTAAAAAAAAACGAAGGTATACAAGAAAGTTTTTAACTAAATTAAAAACAACTTGACGTAAGTTTGGGACAGTCTCATATAGACGCTAAGTAAATTGCACAAGTCGGCAAGTTGCTGGAGAGAGGCGTATGCAAGTTTATGTTTGCATTATCAGAGACCAGATCATGTTCTCAACCTAAAATTAAAACAAAAAAGGCTTTTTTTTTTTTAATTGGGAAGAGAAATTGAAATGTCTCAAAGATGAGCAATCGCCCATCTTTGGAGCATTTTTGAGTTATTGTACCAATGACTGTTCCGACGACCCGGCCACTTTCCTACTTCTTGTTTACTCCAATTCGGAGTAGATTGTTTGGTTGTCCAAGTGGTCCGACGACCGATCAATCGCGGAATTGCCACAAATGTCTCGTTAGTTCCTTTGGCAACGTATGGTTGAGGGAAGCCGGGATCCCCGGACGCGGGTAAAGAGCTGGATATCACGAAGGCATTTGTTGTACAGCGAAGGAAGTTAATATTTCTCCTAAATAAATTAAACGTTACTAAGGTTAACAATTCAGGATAATATGTTACTAATATAACTATATTATGCGCCGCTATATTAACGCATTGCAAGTAAGATAAGATGACCCATATATAGGCTCTCGCTTCACTTACCATGTAGTCAACAGCGAGGCCTGCAACGACACAATTTGTAGTTAGTTCTTGCTTCATTCAAACCGTGAGACAGCACGTTCTGTCTGACCTGAGTTTTCGTGTTGGAGATACAGCGGTTCAACATTGAAGGTACGGTGCAGCGCTCTACTATTCTTGACCCTGAAACAAAGCCTTGGTCGGCACACTTGGAGCCCAAAATAGTCTAGCGTTTAGCACTGCTTAGATGACAGTGAGACTGACCACATGGCCGTGCAGTCGAAGTGCACCATGAGCCACTTGGACGGGTTGAAGGCGAACGAGTCGGCCATCTCGATGCCTCGCAGCCAGTGCCGGAACTCCGGGCAGATGAAGGCCGCCCCGGCGTACGCAGCGTCCACGTGCAACCACACCGAGCCCTCGGCGCCTTGTGGGTTAGGAGTTATGGCAAAAGAGGAGTGCATCTTAAGATACGTCGTTCTTTTTACTTTACATGAGGAGCAGGAAAGAGGGTAGTGAGGAAATTGCTCCCCTACCCCAATTTCCGAGAAATTTTGGACGCCACTGGACGGTGGTATAGAAACTTCATAGTAGCTCCAAAACAAGGGCGTTTGAGGTAAACTTAGACCATCGACCGATGACTGCTAGCACAGTAAGACTGCATCGTTGAATGATAGTGACCACCCTCCCCTCTTTTCTTCTCCACCTCAAAACCCCCTTATACTCTTACTTTTAAATTTAGACTGATGCGAAATGCGGTTCGAGGATATTCTCATACTCAGCACTTGCAACGTACAACTTTAACCGAAATAAAGGAAAGCTTTACCCCGTGTTCTCTTCACGAGCTCTTTAAGCTAAGTGTATATGGCTACGAACTATGACTCACAAATCTCTCCGATCTCTTGAAGGTTGTCGAAAGCACACGCCCCCGTTGTTCCAAGTGTCGCGCAGACCTGCAACAAGTACACGCAACGAAAACAATTGGTGAGTCCGTATACAGGATGCTAAATGCAAAATAACAAAACACATACATACTCCCATGTATCGATTCAACTAAGGAAGTTTAAGGATCTCAACTGAGTTTAACGAAGTCACACTGTCATGCATCGTACAAAAGGTACGGTATTCACTGGACATGATAACAGAAATATTTGTGGACATGCCTGAAGCATCTTAGAAGCATGTTTGTTCCTTACATAAACGTATGATTGGCACATGTCTCAGGATAGCATTCGTATGACCAATGTTGCAGGGCTGTCATGCAAGGAAGAGACACTATTTTGAATGATGTAGGAGCAGCGGGACCGTGGCCCAAGAGTACGCCACCAAAACATCTCGTCGTCAATACTTCGGAATCCCAAGTAGGGGCGTCCCTCCGGACGTTCATGCACCAACATCTTAGTTCAGTTGTTAGAGCGCACGGGTAATCCTGGAGAGGTGTTCCAAAATCAATGCCCGAATCAGGCGGATTTGTTTTTTTCAGCGGCCACCATTCGCTCGGAGAGGGGGCGAGTGGAGGTCAGTTTTACTCTTGCCTCCATCGAGTAAGTTTTGGCCGTAAATGCGACGGGCTCAGTTCCCAAACAGTGGAACCGGCCGGAGAGCAGCTGGGCAACGTCTTACGTAAAAAGGGATCAGTCCGTCCTGGCGGTCCCGCTCCATGGCTTCCCTGAGCTGGTGTCCCCTCATGCTCAGGTTGTCGTCCGACTCGACGTAGTGCATCTTAACGAGCCCCATGAGACCCGCCTTCTCCACCGACGAATGGGCCTGAAAAGGGCCATCGGGAAATTTGCCGGGAAACTGCGGACAGCCGCGGCAAACTGAGAGCACACAGTGTGGTTGGCAATGACCGACTTTAAGGTAAATTAGAGAGTGATACACCATGCAAAAAACGAAACAGAAAAAAAAATCACACGAACCTGCGGCATTTGAAACAAAAACGAACTCTCAGGGAACAAAATAAGCGGTAGTTTGTTAGGATTTTTAGAGCATATCTCGTGGACAATGGACGCGCCATAAAAGATACGCAGCGACCTGTACCAGTATACAAAAGCTGATATTCTGTATTTATGTCATTCTAGTTTTTTTTGTTTACCTATAATTACCCGCAACACAAAAAAAAAAAAAAACGCAGAGTGTGGCGAGTTTTCAGCATCTCATTATCGCTCGTCAGCCAATAAGATTGCCACATTAGTCAGTAAGCACGCTGAAGAACCAATCACGATCGCAAGAAACCTAAGCCGCGTTTCTTAATCTGGCAGCGACACTACGTGTAAGGAGTCCTTAGCATCGTTCGCGAACGCCCACCTGGTCCGAGCAGTAGGCCACCAGCCTTCCGTTCACGTCGGCGTCGTCCATGTCCGGGTACTCGTTGCGCATGCAGTGCAGCACCTCGGAGCGTGCCGCCAGCAGGGACACGAAGGTCGACTCGCTGGCCGTCGTCTGGATGACCCCGCCGCCCTTGCTGGCCGACTTGGTGTGCAGGAAGTCGTCGGGTAGTCCCACCATCTGGCCCAGCCAGTCCATCACGATCGTCTCCAGCTCAGTGCACGCGGGACTCGACGCCTGGGCACCGAAGACGCGCCGAAGGCAGCAGGCCGTGGTTAAGATAGACTCGACAGCATCTAAGAGGGGCTTACGCGCTACGGGGCATGTCATCTAGGCTGGTGCAGCGTCGTACAGGCCGGGATGGCACGAAATCCAACCGGAGATTCCCGGTATTTTTATTTACTTGTTTACTACGAGTCACCCAGCAGCGTCGCAGGAATTAATGCGGGGAAGCATGGGTACGGCAGCATTATATACAGGGTATTTTTTTTTGAAGATTTACAGATTTTTTTTTTTTTCAAAAACGCTGGGAAAGCTACATTAATGCGGTTTGTGCAGGTGAGTTATACTGCCAGAGGGACATAGTACGTGGGGCTAATCGTGACGATCATTCGGTTAATAAAGTAAAATTTGTTAATTAACTTTTTAATTAGTGAAAATAGTCAGATAGTTCCAATTAGAAACTTGCTGAGCGTCGTCCGAAACGCCTAAATGAGTAATTTCTAAAAAGACTTGGAGCGCGTGAGATGCGCACTAGTGCGCTAAAGTTACCACACGTGGAGCATGTACAATGCTAGGGCTCTCATAAAAAAAAATAGAGAAAAAAACGCGCGGGCGCATTACCCCAACCGCTTGCCTTGTACTTGCTCCACAAGTGGTAACTTTAGTGCACTACTACGCTTCTCACGCGCTCAGTATTTCTGCAAATTACTGATTTAGTGGTTTTCGATAACGCTCAGCAAGTTTCTAATTGTAACCATATCTCTATTTTCATCAACTAAAAAGTTAATTCACAAACATTACTTAATTAGCCGACTGATCATTACGATTAGCCTCCGATTCTATGTTCCCCTGGCCGTATAACTCACTTGCACAAACCGCATAAGTGTAGCTTTCACAAAGTTTTTGAAACAAACATGGAAAGCGTAAAACAAAAACGCCCCGTATAATAACTTAATGTTGACATGCATATATTGAACCAAGAAAGAACAATAAGCACTTCAGAAACCACATCAGTTCGTCGAAAAAAAGAAAGAAGTAGTTGTGTACTGTAACTTCACCAGGAAAGCGTTACACAGTGGGGCACAACCATGACAAATCAGTACGAAACAATAAGGCCGATGTTATCGTTTTCAGGTCATGTATTTTTGAAAAAAACAACAACAACAACAACAACAACATAACTTTTCTCACAAACACTGCATTTATTCGTGACAATCAACACAACTTACGTAAGTTATTAAAAAAAGTAGGAAAGGAAAGGCACATTTACTATTGTAGATACTTCACTGTCGGGGTCCTAACTTAGAGTGCAGGAGGCACCCTATCTGGCAATGAACCCCTTCAGCTAGAACTATAATCTGCACCACCTTATGATGCCGTACACTGCACACTTAAAAAAAAAAAAAAGAAAACAAGTCAGTGAGGTTTACTTTTTCGCCAGATAGAAAGAGATGGCCAATCATGGTGAACGAGAGAAGGATTCCAGAGAATTACAATACTCGAAGTACGATTAGATCACGGAAATGCGATGTGCGCAGAGACAGTGAGTACTTATCATAATGTAACACATGAGGCTGTGGCGCGGAAAACTTAAGAACGTTGGAAGTCGAAGAAGAGGACAGCGGTAGGAGAACGTACGTCTCCTACGGTTGAGACGTTCCCCTACTTTTGAATTTTACTTTGACTTCAAGGTGTATTAAGTTTTCTCAGGTGTTACATTATTCCCAGCTCGCCTGTATCGCCATAATTATTACACGCTCGCCTGCACACTCACTGTTAATATTGCGTAAGCATTCGTACTCACACGACAGGCAAAAGCTGATATCGTCCGTTTGTGGACAAAACAACGGGAAAGGCAAGCGTAGATTGGAGACGAGTAGTGAAGGACAAAGGTGAGAGGGAGGCAGCTTCACGGGGTGGAAGCCAGTGCGCTCGCGGATGCTGGTTTCGAACCTTGAATTTAATTGAATTGAGTTAATGTTTATTTTTTCGGAATCAACCGAAATGGAGACAGGGGCTAAAGGCGTGAAGCCTGACAAGGTCTCTGTCCCCAATGCAGCGCTTTCCAGCAGCACACAGTTTAGAGAGTTCACAAGGAGACTCCGCCGTTGAAGACAGTGAACGGGGATTTTGACGCCGCACATGCAAGAAACGCAAAAAAGGAGGTTTAAAATATATTTTATGTGTACTAAAAAAAAAAGCACAACATATAATGTGTCCTTTAAACGAGATACACAGCATACGTTACAACACACCCTTCCAAAAGAGGTTTCCAAAAGGACCCCTAAAGCTGGAAAAAATTAAAGGAAGATCCATTGGTGGATCCTTAGGGAATGTGTTAGCACTACCCTTGGGAGACAGACGCCACGCAGGTCCCTCTTTGTGAAACTCTAACACTGACCCCGTAGCAAAGCCAGAAATAGACAGCAAAAAAAAAAAAAAAAAGGGAGCAAGAGAAAGCCAGAACAGAAAAGTGAAGGGGTCAGTCAGCGTTAGCGTTTCCCAAAGAAGGACCTTTGTGGCGTTTTTCAAGGGTCATGCTAGCGCATTCCCCAAGGACCCACCAATGGATCTTCCTACAAGATTTTGTTAACAGTGAGTTTAACGTTTCGCTTGCTTTTGCGCCCTTGCGCATATCGAATTTCTCAGATATGATCGTATTCCGAGCCTTGTCATTCACTAGAATCCTTTTTTTTTTTTTCCGTGATAGACTATGCCGCAGCAATCTGCAGTCCGGGTCTCCCAACTCTCGTGGCTGATATTGAAGCCCTACAGAATCGCGGTGCCCGTTTTATATTCGCTAACTATCATCGCGCATCTAGTGTCTCAACTATGAAAACTAATTTATCACTTCCTGCTCTTTCATTACGCCGAAAAACATATCTTTTCTGTCTTTTTTTATAAAACGCATCATACCAATGCTTCACTAATTGCAAACTAATGTTAAATTATGTTTTCACCTCACCGCGCTTAGATCATCAATTTAAGGACAGAATTCATCATTGCATTGCCTCAGTTTACTATAACTCTTTCATTTCCAGAACATCTTCAGAGTGAAACCGCCTTTCCGCGCAATCGGTAAACATACCGTACTTTGACTTATTTAGAAGCGCGGTGACTGCTTACTTATGTTAATATTTTGTCTGTTTGTTTGCTTTGTTCTGTAGTTTCTAAACTTGTTTTGCGAATTTTTTAAAAACATTTTTAGTGCTTGGCTTTTAGTGTTTGTATACTGTTTGTATTCCATATTTGTCATGTCCCACTCCCCTCTGCAATGCCTCAGGACCTTGAGAGTACTGAATTGATAAATGAATAAATATGGTGTTCGATTGGAGAACCACCGTAAAAGTGATGTATTGCAGGCAACGTTGTTAAACTTAAAATGGTGGCCGCAAACATGTTTCATCTCTTTCACGTCAACCGTGCCTTATGGTGGTTTCTTTTCGATTAGCAATAACAAAATTTATAGGTTCTTCTAAGATGGCAGGAAAGAAAGGGTGGTTTGAGTCGCTTGAAGCGCCTGATATTGCTAATAAAAGTGCGAATGCCGGCTGGAACCAGGGCTGGGCAGCATCGCGATACAAAAGTGTAGTGATAGTATTTCAGAAATACATTTTATATTTATATTTCTGTATCGCGATAAAATATTTCAACTGTACTTTGTATTTCTGTATCGAAATTCATTTTCGGGTGTATTCTTGCTATCGCGGTACTATAAGGGCCAATAAATTTCCTTACAATTAAAAAAAAAAAAATTGTTGACCTCCGCAGAGTGGGTCAAAACGTAGTTTCGTCGGGGACGTTTTGTGTCTCTGACCACACATGACTCCTTTCTTTATTGTGGAAAAGTTAACAGATGTTTTCCCACGCTTAAGGTGGTTGACTATCCCAGTCGATTCCAAAAGTTGCAGACTCTGTCGGCGCGCCCAACAAACAAATAAGGGATACGAGTTCTTTGAACTTCATTCCACGGTAACGTTATAAGATCACTGCTGAAAGAGGTGTCTTGATTGGACATAATCATGGTGACTTCGATAGGTTTTTTGGGAGGACACAAAACTGATTTAAATGACCCTGGTATTTGGTCTCAGAAAGATAAGAAATGCGGTAATTAAATCCGCTCTAGCCAAGGTAAAAACATCGCTTGCTTTCTTTACTACTCAAAATGCAAGGTTTTAATTTTACAGTAAATTTCATTCGAGCTTAATTCAGGCTCTAACATACACTGAGATCTCGCTTGCTGGTTTAAAGGCAAAATCTCGTATTCTAGAGCATGCTTCTTCTTTGTTCTTCGTATACTCTAAGGGGTGCAGCAAAACATCCAAAATAATGTTTTTATAACAATGCATTTCAGTGTCTGAAATCATTTTAAAATGTATTTCTGATACGTATCGAGATACATTTTCAAAAATGTATTTCAGTATCAGTATTTTAGCTGTTCTTGTCATGTATCCCAGTATTTGTATTTCCAAATACTTTCGAGAGCTAATACTTCAAAGCGCACAAGAGACAACACACCATCAAAACAGATCCATACAAAGAAACAAAACTCACGCAGCGCTGTTTTGTTTCTTTGTGTGTTTGGTTTCTTTGTGTTGATCTGTTTTGATGGTGTGCTGTCTGTTGTGTGCTGTGAAGTATTAGCATGATTAACCAACTCGCCTAAGCTGAAGTATTGACCAAGTTCTTTTGAGAGCATTTATGCCCAACCCTGGCTGGAATCTCAAACAAAGCGTCTATGCCGTCTCCAAACTAACGCTAGCGTTTGGGCTGTGCTTAAAAACGCAATCAAATGTCAATTGAGCCTTCAGACTCACTTTGTTTCACAATACACTCGTTAGCGAACCGTGTAGAAAAGCAAGATAAAATTAGCTTCAGCTATGATAGTTACGTTGTCGTGGCCCATTGGCTGGGCGTGTGACTTCTTACCCAAGTGAAACCCAGGCAACCGATGCCGTCGGCAAGCATGTCTCCCAGCAGCGACGCCGGGGAATTCAGGGCCGGGAAGTAGGCGTGCATGTGGGGGCTCTGCCAGTGGGTCACCTGCAAGCCAGAGTTACACGACCCAGACTCAGGCTTACTGTTTGGTCCTTATAGGCGATTGCAAGCTGGACAACTGGCCGCCGCCATGTCTCTGCTCGTGCGGACACGCCCCTGCGATAGCAAGCTTGCCAAAGCTACGTTTGCGCGCATGTTGCACGTGCCGGCGGGCATGGGGCTCCAGTGGGGGCACCATGCTTGCAATTGTCCATACGACGTCGGTCGTTTACGGCGCGGTAAAGCGCGAGTCACACATAGTATACGTTAACCCGTGACCTACCTGCCAAGTTGCCTAATATTGGAATCGACCGGTGGGTCGACTTTAATGGAATCCAACAACGTAGTTTTTCAGAAATAAAGATGTCAGGCGGTACAGATAGGCGTCCCTGTTTCCGGAATCGCTATTTCAATATAATTTGCGGGGTTCGTGTAAGCTGTGCTATAAGACCACCCCTGTCCATTTCGATTTGGATGAGCATCGTACCGGCGTGCTGTCGTGTATCACTACCGTTTGATGCAGGCTAAATACCCATGGCTGCAGTGGAACTCCACTGGCCAACTTTCTCATCCACAGCGCAAACGCAAAACTCTCCTCCCACTGGGGCTAACTTCCTGCCGTCTAAACAAATACCACAACTGCACTACAATGCAAAGTTGTAGCCGCGTCTGCTGATTGCTTTTCGTGCACAAGCCTTTAGGACTTTAGATTTAAATACAGGAATATGATATTAAAACACGGATCTGCGTGTGTAATTTCTTATAGTTCAACCGAATAAATGAACGAAGGACGAATACATGAAGGCGGCCGGGGCTTTCGACCCACACACTTCTCTGATCCCGTCTCTGTTTCTATAGTGGTGCAGTGCAGCTTAAAGCACTACTTGATAAGGCCCGTTCAGACATTTCCCTTGTGCTTAGGGCCGAGTTTTTAAGATCTCTTACGACGAGACAACAGATTGGCACGCTGGCGCCATTATGAGGTGACCCTGGAACGGGAGTCACTAGAGCGAAGGGTTTTCTTTATTATGTGCCAGATTAAAGGCACGTACTATCCTTAGAAAATGGTCGTTTATATGACTGTCGTAAGGGTTTAAAAATATTGCGGGAAAAAAAGACGTAGGGAAATATTAAGTGTTCCACCGCTAGCCATTAGATGGTGCCAGTCTCTCGTAGTGAGAGATCCCAGGAGGCAGTCGTAAGCCGTCGCAAGTATGTGAACCAGTCCATACTCGCAACTGCACAAAAGACTGAGCTGCGCGTGAAACCATTCAATCGCACTGTACCCCGGGCATAATGACGCCCTCGATGTCCTTGAACACGTCGTCCCAAGGTTCCGCGTGCATGGGTGGCTTGGCCGGCAACAGCTCCTGCATGTAGCCCGGCTTGACATCGGGAAATACCCTCCGCTCGCGGATGGTCTCCAGGTAGTCCGCGATGTAGTCCACCATCTCTTTGCCTGAAACGGACTTTCGCTCAGATTCTACGTGCAAACGGCGGAATGGCGTTCCTGATTCGAAGACAGGCTTCGCGAACCCGCCACTTACTTTCTTGAGCCTTTATTTACGCTCATACTTGTCCGATGCTCATTACAAGTAATCAAATTACTTATAATCGATTGATTTTAGCAGTAATTTTGTAATCATTTGATTACTTTTATAAGGAAGTAATCACAAAATTAATTTGACTACTTTTTGGGAGTACTAAAATTACTTGTAACCATTAGTATATTCTCCCCCTCTTCCTAATGGCACCCTTTGTTTATACTCCTAAGAAGTCCACGATCCAAGCCTCCGAGAGTAGCGTCAACCATAATGTGTGCATTTGAAGATGAGTAGTTTGTAATTTGGAGATTCTAATCAAATAGGGGACACTACGGAAGTCCCACTTTCAAACCGGCAGAGAAATCTGTCCTTTTGAAAATCTGAAGTAATCCGAAAAGTAACGGTTACTTTTTCAAGTAATTCTCAATTACATTACTTCTCAACTCCTCAAGTAATTTAATTTAATAATTATTAACCGAGTCGAATCGTAATTGTTATCGATTACTTTTAGTAACGTGTACAAGTCTCTTTATGCATAACATGAAAAATAAATTGCGGCACAAAAATAACTTTTCAATTTTTTTTTTTCATCAAATAGGTCTGCATACAATTTGTGTGATTGCATTACTATGATAGTCATAACTGCAGTATGCCTGTTCGTAACAGTTAAGCTGAATAGCTTGTATAAGCAGAACACTAATTAAATGCTATAGCGTTTCTGAGTGAACACGCCGCCTCCGCACTTTTTGTGTACGTCTTCGCTCTGTAACCAACGAAGCAGGCGGCACGCGGATGACGATGATGATGACGATGACGATTATTATGGTGATGGTAACGACGATGTTGGTGATGATTGGTGACGGTAATGCTATTAATGATGATAATGATGATGATGGTGTTGTTGTTGCAGCTGTTGTTGTCGTTCTTGTTGCTACTGCTGCTGCTGTTGCTCCTGTTGTGGTTGTTGTTACACATTATTGGGACAAGGGTGGCTCGTCAGCCTGGAGCGGAAGGGCTTAATTAAAAAACGAAGAAAAAAAACATGATATTCTTTGGTCATGGCAGCAGAGCGTGCAAAGCGCCAAAGGGACAGTAGCGTCTGTTTTGCTCGGGCACCACCCTTGGGATAGATCGAGTCCTCGTGAGAACATATACTGGAGTTTTGAAAACGAGTCCGCTCGTCGTGGAGCCCCGCACACTCAGACTCTCCATCAGGCCAGGACGTCCTCAGTGAGGGCGGCACCGGTGCGTGCTCTATGAATGAGCACTTCAGCACCTCTTGCTAGATCATTCGGTAAGGGTGGCGGGTTTGCTGATATATTACCGTAGGAGGAGGTGATCTGCCTTTTGGATACTGCCTTTTTCTCCCAGTGGTCGGGGTCAAATAGTACAGGAGGGACCGAGGGGGGCATTATATTTTACTTTGAAAATAGATATTTAGCTAATTATGACATTACATAATAATTGGGAGCCAGAAAACTGACCAGGAATAAATTAAAGCGCGTAGAAACTTTGGTATGTTCACACAGAGGGGAAGACTAAAGAAAAGAATACAACTAATGGTGGCAGTATGCAATAGATACGAGACAGGACACTAAGCAAAATATACATGGGAACGCAAGAGAATTTTAACATACGTAGTTACCCCGATATGAAACAGGGGACTAAGGAGAGTGACGCTGTTGATTGTAATATGTTATGAACAATATACTAAGAGGATGCGCATTACTTAAAAAAAAGTTTCCTCTCGTTTTTTTTTATTTTTTTTTTACTTAAATTATGCGCGCTGCAACACCTTTTTTTATTTCTTATTTCTTATGTTTTTTTTTTCAGCGCCGAGAGCATTTAGTTTGTCGGGAACTGGCCGCAGGCCGGGCTTCATTGGAAGGACCACGGCCAGCCACGGGCCGGTCGGTAGACCACCGCGGGCCGGATTTGGCTCGCGTGCCGGGGTTTGGATACGCTGGATTAGAGGTTACCAAGCTTAGAGTGTAGCTGCTGGAACTGGAGTTGGGTTTGCGGTTGGTGCTGTTGCAGCATAACCCTCTGTTGCTGCAAAAATTGTTGTAACCATGTTGAGTGGGTCTTGAGGGGCGGCATGGGTTGCTGACTGATTTGGTCAGGGGTGAAGGAATTCTCGTCGGGGCTGCTCCGGAGGCGCTAACGGTGCCGCAGCTTCGTATAGCGCTCGGCTAGAAGTGCGAGACTGGCGCCGTTTGGTACACGCAACCAGATATTTATCTTCCTGTGCTTTTTCTGTTTCAAGCCTCCGGTGAGGTACCCGGATTTGACTTTTCGTTGATTTTTGGAGGGTATCGTACTTTCGTTTGAGTTCAGCAATTTCTTGCTGTAGAGGTTGACAAGAACTGCTTGAAAGTCCTTGTTATCTTTTTGTTGTGCCGCACGGATGCTCTCAATTTGTTCTTGCGTTCGGGATGCTTAGTTCTGTAACCGTTGCGCGTCTGGAGTTGTTGAGAAGCCGTACCTTACTCCACACATCTGGTAAGCGGCGTAAGCTGGGAGTCTTGCGTCGCAGACGGTGAGCGCGGAGTTGGCTCCCCGCTTGGAGCAGGACGGCGGCGGCGGCGCGGCGGCTACAGGCGAGCACCATTCCTGTTTAGCTTCGCGTTTCTTCGCTTTGTGGTCGAACTGAGCGCCGGCCGGGCAGGAGGGGTCCGTTGCTATATGACTAGGATTGCTGCAGTGTACGCAGAATTTATCGTCTGCGTTTACTCACTGTTCTGAGGCCTGCTCGTGCTGCTTACCGCAGCTGGCATAGATTGGCTTCTCAGCTGGGCAGATGGCTGCCTTGTGTCCTGGTTTGTGACACCTTTGGGCACACAGGTGAGCGCTGCTGATACTACTCAACTCGCCTGGGAAACGGCCAGTGCGTAACCCCACTGGGCGGTCGTGGTGAGTCAAAACAAATCAGGATAGTTCCTCTGGAGGCGATTGGGCGGTCTGTGAGGATGTCTACTCTATCCGTGTGTATAGGCCGCGAGAAGCCTCTCGTGTGATTTCTTTGATTTGCTCCCGTAAATTGCTCCTCCTGAGAGTAGGAAGCTGATATGCTTGGACCGAAAGGGGTTCCTGATCTTGAGAGGAAGACTGGTTGTTCGCAGAAGGTGCGCCGCTTAATTGGAGTCACAACTAGTGACTGCGATGGTATTGGAAACTACTCACTCGCAGAAGTTGAAGCTTCCGGAGTTCGTGGTCAGTTGTGTACCAGCTCAACGCACAACGCTTGGGTTTCCGCAGGCAAGCTTTGGCCTTAAAATTATTTGCCCCAATGTTTAGCCACTATATGTTTCGAACCTGCAGTGGTGTTTTGGCGCAAGTGAGCTTCCAGGAGCTTGACGTTCTTTACGAAGCGATGAAAGTTGTCCTTCTACCGTGCTGACGAAAGTTGATAATCGCAGAATTTCTGATTTTCGCGGTTGCTGAGGTTGTATTTCGAGTGACTTAGGCAAAACACTGATACTACAGAGTCACGGGGACAATTGTGTGCGCTATAACACCAGAAAAGGTGCAGGGCGCGTCTAATTCCTTAGACCAGGGTCTCAAATACGCGGCCCGCGACTCGCTGGGACGCGGCCCGAGGCAACCGACTACGAGTCCCGATTCGCATGTCTCGAGCGCCAGAAACAGCATGCGCCAGCGTGATCTCATCTCGCCGATTCATTTTCACTCGAGAAGTAGCTCTGCTCTTTTAACGTATTCCCATAGGTTTTAATCAACTGCGTTCATTTGCCCTTTGTTTTGCCTTATTTTTTGCTTCCCATCTTTTTGTGATGTACGATCAAAACGGCGCTCACCAACAGCTCTTTGTTGTTGAAGGATGCAACTGTTGTATCCTTCAACAACAGCTCTTTGTTGAAGGATGCCTCTCGGCTGCGCGAACTCTCGATCAGCAGGAGCAGATGTCACATATAAAGCTACAAGCCAAAAATTCTTACCTTAAAAATATATATCACCATTAAAGAACAAGCATTTGTTCAAAGTGTTGTAATAAAAATCGTCAGGAAAGCAAGAACTGTCAAATTAAATGATTTTTCTTTTTAGATACATGTTGAGCTTGGTTAATTCCTGAGGGAATTGAGCAACGGGAACGACAGTGTACTTGCTCTTTTGCTGTATAAAAAAGTGCCAGCACGTAAGCGGGGCGGTGTCATTTTAATTCTAGTTGTCACATCAAGTCAGGGCCCAATGTAGTCCTATATACAAATCAAATTTATAAAGATGTCTGACATGGTGGGTGTAACAGCTTCAAAAAACGAGGGCGACTTCGTTTTTTGAGTGTTTGGTGTAACAGCTTCAAAAAATGAGGACCTTGTCATCGCTTTTTGGAGCTGTTACACCCACCATGTCAAACCTTTACCAACTCACCAGTTTAACACCTTGTCTAAAGATATCACTGGCAAGACTGAGTTTACAAAAAGCATAGAGCACGAAGTGTCTTCTCTTCTAAATCTTTAAATCTTGTACCCCCCCCCCCCCTCCCCACCTCTTCCCTTCTAACGCTGGCCCTCGGCCTTTCCAGTGTGAGCCATGTGGCCCCCATGCTCAAATGAGTTCGAGACCACTGCCTTAGACCATTATGAGTCGTGGTTTTCCCCACGGCCTTTGTCGTTGCTGCCGTTGTCATCGCTTTGGACAGAACCAACGCAAATTCCCTCGCTTTACTTCGGCGGCTATCCCGGAACCCACAGGAGACGAATCGAAAGGACCTGTGCCGTCCAGTAAAGTGTTTTCCCGCTAGGTGTCCGTCCGTTTTGCTGAAGTCGCGAATTCTGTCGAGGTCAGTTGATGACGCTCAAGTGTAACGAAGATCGTCACGGACAGCTCAGAAAACGCGGGGTGTGGCTTATATACGTTCACTAGTCTTCCTTCGTGATTGGTTCTTTGGCGTTCTAACTGGCTTATGCCGACAAGAATGACGCCGAGTTTTGATTGGCTTTGATGGGAAGGATAGTGGATACACTTCAATGCTAGACGCCTCAAGGTTTACCCACTTCTTTTTTAATCAGCCAATAAGAGCTCAGCGTTTTGACAGTATCGCAAACCCCGTGCAAGAAGCAGACAAACTTGTGCTCCGCATAACGTCTATCACGACTGAGAGCGGGGTTCGCTCTTTGGTCACCTAGAATGACGAGCTATTAAGCGTTCAACGAAGATTTGTCTCTGCGTATAGGTTATGGATGGCCGAGAAATAGCCACTCACCTCGTCGCCTGTACTCCTTGAAATCCATGTGTCTGAAAGAAAAAGAAAATTGAGATGTCAAATATATTAATCTTGTTTTTAAACACGAGAATCGTATGGAGCTTTCCAGCGCTTATCACCCTGGCAAAAATATGCTGAGTAACTGAGGGCGGATGCGCGGCGTCTTATATGTTGTGAAAGAGGGCTAGTGGCTGCGCGCGCTCAGAACACATGACACAGCCCTCTAGGCAAAGATGGCACCCACAGAAGGCGATTATCGGAAAGGTCAATACCCGCGCGAAGCTGCCTCCAGGAGCGAAGACAATATGTTGTTTCCCAAGCGGGAAACACACAAACCTCTTAGTTGTTGGAACCTCTAGCTTGAAAGCAAATATACCAGCGGCTAGTAACGGAATGGGAATAATGTGCGAGTATAAGCAGCAAACACCGGCGTGATGACGTTACTGGAGGAGAATTGGGAAAACCGCCAGCCAGAAGCTCCCATTATATTGCCACGAATAAAAAAAGCATAAACGCGAATGATCATACTTAAAATGAACGTCTAGTGCGGCGAACTCATGTCGAGGAACATTAAGTAACAAAGACTGTACATTCTTTGACGGCGACGGAAGGACGATTGACCCCAGAATCCTTCCGAAGCTCCTTATGTAGGTGCGTGGGTATCTAGAAGCTTCGGAGCTCGAACAAGCAACAACATTCTCGAGTCATATGAAACATTTCAGTCATCCAAACAAACGAAAGAAAGATAAAAAAGGACAAGCGCTGCCGGGGGTCCAACCCCAGGCAGCGGCGTGAAAATCGAGCACGCCGCTGACTCTTTTATTCACACGCGGCAATATAGCGACGTAAATAAATAAATAATAAAAAAAAAACAACAAAAAAAGTACTAACATAATAAACTAAATGTTAAAAGAAGAAAAACGAAATAATGAATAACCATAGTCTTCCTTATTCCACAAAGCCTGTCAATACTGCGACGGAGCCACGGAGCGGCCGGCCGCCAGAAAAAGGAGAGGAGAAGCCTTGGAGAAGCGCCGAACGGTTACCGATATGGTAGCGCATAGTAACTTCTGGGGTGACCCCTAGTGGTGGAAAACTATCGAAAAAATTGAGTATTGAATGTATTGATAGTTTTCCAAAATATCAATATCAAGTGTCGAAACTATCGATAGTTCCTTTGATAATTGACTACCGATAGTACAGTCGAGAGTCCACTATCGATAAACTATTGATAGTGAACTGTCTTATAGTACTCTCGATAGTCCACGATCGGTAGCTTGCTTTCGGTTGACCATCGATACTATCGAAAGTCAACTCTGAGAAAACTATGGAGTGTTACGGAAATGCAAGTGCAACCCAAAAAGGTGATGACGACGGATATCGCGTACGAGCAGACATCGCGGGGCTCTGGGCAGAACATGAAATTGAAAGGAAATGAAACATCAAGTTGCGTTTTCATAGAATAAATTTAGACAAAACAGAAATAGCGTTTTTTTACTTTTCCTGCGCACATATTTTGCTTGTTCGTTGGTTTTATATATCAAGCATCATATTTTAGGTACGCCCGCATTTGTAACACAAAACACATTTTTTTTTCTTTTTCCTTGGGACAAGGAAAACGCTCGCTGAAGATAGCACAAAGCCGGGTTCACGCTGCTGATATGTCATACAACAGACAGTCTGCATACATATTTAAACGCTACTCGCCACGAGATTCGTGCTTCGAATGCCGCATGGCAATGACTTCGAAAAGAAAACTTGGCACGCGGCATTCGAACCACAGATATTGCGGTGATTCGTGTTTGCAGGCTGTCCTTTATATAATGCATCTGCATTGCGACCCCGGCTTAAGGGTTTTTTCACTAGCTTTTTTTTTTCAGGCTTGTGATTCTTTTAATATTCAAATATGTCACATATTACTTTCCTTAGTCCTGAACGCTGGCAGGTGAAAATAGGCACTCTGCTGGGAATTGTAATTTTTTTTTTCTGCTGATGACCATTTAAAGTTAATGCCCGAAACTTGGGAACTAGCTGTTGACAAAACCGGTTAGGCTTGTTCGCCGTGATATGTTGTCACTTTCTGTTAGATTCTGTCTTAGCACATTTTTATAACGGTGCCTGGTTATGGTTTACCGTTTGGTACGAAATCCAACTTTAAAGTATTGCGTTCGTCACGTGACGTATAAAAATAATTTTTAGTCAATTGGGAGTTTTTGAATATAGGACAACAACATCAGGCAACCTCTAAGAAATCGGGTCTCACCACTGCACCTTCGCTTGACCAAAATTATGTTTGGGTTAGCGTTTGCCCCTAACGCAGAACTCAAGAGGCCTCTAAGGCAAACAAAAATGGCGACGCCCTGCGCCGCGAGCTTCAGAACAAAATCATAAGGGTCGCTGCACTATTAGGCACGTTTATCGGTAACGTATGGTGCAGAAGGCTTTCGCTTTGCCTTGCCTAGCTTAAATCACAAAGCATGAGCGATGATCTCGCCCCGTTTTCTAGATCGTCTTCTGATTCTGGCCGGCCTTTACCCTGAATGATAGCGGTAATTACAAACATGACAGCGCCACGCGAATCCTATTCATGGATTGTCTTGTTTCGATCTCGCACAAGAACGAAGACTCAGCAAAGGTGCAACAGGGCACACATAAGCGCTGGTTCGTAACCTGCTTAAAAACAAAAACAAAAACAAACAAAACAACAACAACAACAAGAAAACTTGACGTCAGGCCATGGTCAACTCTAGCCATGTGCCGAAAACAGCACGCCTGATAATTCGTCGTGCCTTGTGCAGCGGGTGTGATTTACTGAATGTTACTGACATGACGGAAGCTTCGTCAGACCATGGCGTCGGAGAGTCTGGACGGTGTGCTAATGATCGCCTTCGAAAACATCACCACTCTTTGCAAGACAGTCATCCTTCTGTGCATTGCACATATTTTAATTAATGGAAAGTTGAACTAAACCGTGAAAAACGGAACAAAGAGTGAGGTACGAGGGAGAGGTAAAAAAGACCTATGTGAAAAGTAAAGCGACGGAAGTGCTGTGGACTCGCCATCGAAATTTAGATATATTATCCACCGCTGCCATCAAAATGTTAAAGGCTCACGGGAGTCAACTTCAGATTCAGTTCTGGAGTTAACTTCCCATCAGAACACAAACAGAATGTTTGTGTTCCACGAGTTTAGCGACCTTGGATCGCCGAACTCGTGGAACACAAACTTTCTTTGCTCTATGACGTAGAGGGGGGAGTGGCCGAAAGGATGCCGCAAATATGTCTTTTTTCACAAACCCGCAGATCTGTTTATCTTGGTGACGTTTTTCAATTGAAAGGGCGAAAAATCCCTGCCACTCCCAAAGCGCCGAACAAGAGCAGCACGAGAGAGGGCGCGGAGACGACCGTGGTTCATACGTGTGACGTCACAACAAAGATTACCAGCTGCGACCGAGATGTTTGATGGGCTCTAAAAGGCACGGCGCAGGCTTGGGGTAATTGCATTCTAAAATCAACACCCTCAAAGTTGACAGTCTGATATCGTTCTTATTTCCGCCAGTAAAGCAGAATTTACTGAAAAACGTCTCTGCCGTTCCTTTACTTTCTCTAGTCTCTTGGAGGCGTCGCAGGGGCGGGACGTGCGAGCGCGGTACCGGTCGGGGGGCCTCTTTGCGCGAGTGATCGCGCGGACGGGCGCTTTGCCGAACGGCTGGCGCGTGCCCGCGCCTTAGGCACGGGGTTGGCTAGCTTGAAAGCCTGTATATCACTGTACATAGCGCGTTTTCGGGTTTTGGTTTTGTCCTGAGCATGACACCACTGTTGTAAATAAAATTTTCTAAACACAGCGCGACATGGCTAGGTCAGAACCAGCTGAGTAGCGCTGCCCGCCTACGGGCATAGTTCACCTCTGGGAAGTTGCACCCCCGTCGACGGAATAAAATCATTTTACCGTTTTATTTTTTTAAGTCTACTGACTATTGGCCACGTAGGCTACCAAGAAGCTCGGAGTGGAATTGGCTTTCCAAGATTAGTCAAACTGGGATTCATTATGTTTCCATCAACGGAAACAAGAGAAATTGTTCAGAAAGAAGGACTAAAACACTGAGATACACGAAGGCCAGAGACTCACAGTTCTTTTACGGTTCTTCTTTTTTTTTTTTTTTAAGAACTGTGAGTGTTTTTTTTTATTTTAGGGTTTTGTTGTTTCTTTGTAAAATCTAGTTTATCCAGCGCGCTGTACTACGTGTAAATAAGAGTAATGTCAGGTCGTCAACCAACATCGACGGTGATATTTTAAGAACACGATGACTTCAAGCTTCTATAGTGAACAATCAAACTAGTCACCGTCAATTTGTACACGCACCATCGGATTTGTAGTTCACAGTTGATAATCCTGAGCCTGACGTCAAGGGTGGGAAGCGTAAAAGGACGTCCCTGCACGCGCCTACACACCACGAGTACTGGCACGAGCCTGTCGCTTTGGCCTGACAAGGCCGCTCGTGAGTCCATGGAACGCGAACTTTTAAAACCAATTGGAACATTGCCTCAGCCTCGGCCCATAACCTCCTATGCAGTGCCCAGACATTTCAGAAGGGTATAATAAAATAATCGGGGAAAGGGATGTCCCCCTTCTGTAGTACCCCCCTCCCCCACTATCTCTCTCTCCCGAACATTTTGTTAGGCACGTCCTGACTCTGATGGATGTGCGTGTGTGTGTGTGTCATGACCCTGACGTCCTATTGTATGTGTGTGTGTGTGTGTGTTGGTCGTGCACAATTTTATTTTCCTTCCCCCGGTTCTTTTCTCGCCATCCCCTGTCACTCCCTCATCTCAACGTTACCGGGGCCACCGCGTCGTGGTGGCCCCGGTAACGTTGTTGACAGTGGTGGAAGATGAGCTCAAAAACCGCGCACACCGCGCGCGGCTCCACAATATCACGAAGTTCCAATTTAACCGAGATTGCAAAGCGAAGATTTGTGGCCCCAAATAACAACTTGCCAAAGTTGTGAAACGTCACTTTGTCGTCACC